AATTTCACTCGATTTCGTTCATTATTGAGTGAGTAAAACAAGGACAAGAATTTTACTGTCTTGATTTTTTTTTTTCATTTATCGAAAAAACAAGACCAGAGGCATAATTGTATTAATCTCCTGAATGTTGTGAGAAAATTTCAAGATGATTGATTCACTATTCGCTGAGTAAAACGAGGACAAAATATTTCAGTATCGAAGCGCGGTCGTTACCGACAGAGTGTGTATGCCCGGCCCTTAAGTCTTTAGTTTGTAAATAAAAAAATATTGAAATTTCAGTTTTTTGTGTGAGATATTGTCAATAATCTCTATTAAAATGGTTATTAAATTTGCTTTTTCGGGTTGCAATACAAAATCTCAAACGGGGAAGTTATTATTCTTTCAAATGATCAACGAAAAACTGAGAAACAATCGTAATTAAGAATATTATCTTTCCACTAACAGCAGACTTGGGTTGGAAGACGATTGCGAGATGATTTTCATAATTTTTCGGAATTACTCTTCTTTCTTAAGTTTTTCGTTGGTAATTTGAAAGAATAAAAATTTCTCTGCTTGAGAGTTTGTATTGCAACCTAAAACACCACTTTTAATAACTATTTTATTAGATTTTATTGACAATATCACAGACAAAAAAGCCGAAATTTCAATATTTTTTTATTTACAAACTAAAGACTTTAATTAAAAACCGCTTCGATATTTCGATACACGAGGATTTCGGCTTTCGCCAGATATTTTTTGTTTATTTTTTTACTTAAATATAAACTAATTACAAGTACTTTTAACAAGCTAATTTAACACTGTTAAACATTTAACAATGTTAAACATGCTTATTAAACATGTGTAACGTAAAAGGGCCCATCTTACAACATAATCATATCAAGAAATTTTAAAATTACTTCCGCGCATTATGAATGGGGCTCGCTAGGCGTAAGCTTCGGAACTCTGACGTCCGGCGCCACTAGTACTTTTCGAGTGCGGCGTAGGCCGTAGAGTTTGCCTCAGACTGCCGCAGACGCCATTAGTCATTCGGTACTCGGCTGTTGTAGCAACGAGTCGCTTCCAGTAATACCAGCAGTTTGTGACTTTTTGAAGTACATAACCTCAAATAACTTCTCAATAGACAACGTGAAAATTCTTTACGTGTATACGTTGAGAAAGAAATGAACTGCAACAGCGGCATGATCAAGGAAGTAGTGGTCAGTGAAAGCGATTTAATCAGGTATTGTTGATAATTTATTTTTATTGTTTAGGATGTCTGAAAAGTCTAAGGATATTGTGCAATTGGCAGCTGATACTTGCGAAGAAGTAAACGATCGAGTTGACTCTAACCCAACTAGATTTGATGAACCACATGTGAAAGCCAGTGAAAGCGATTTAATCAGGTACTGTTGATGTTTAATTTTTTTTATTCAAAGTTCTTAAGTATAAATCCCTTATTTCATTAATTTATTGTTTAGGATGTCTGAAAAATCTAAGGATATTGTGGCAGCTGACCCATGCGAAGAAGTGAACGATCGAGCTGACTCTAACACAACTAGATTTGATGAACCAAGTTTATCCAAAGATTCAGAAGTTTTGCTTACACAGATTAAAGATCTTACGATTATGACTCAAAAATGTGCAGAAGACACATGCAATGAAGTAAATGATCTACGTCAAGGTGACTCTACCACAACTAGAACTGATGAACCAAATTCATCCGAAGATTCAGCGGTAAGTTCAATTTTAATTATCAATCATGATAACATGATGAACTCTAGATACTGATGTACTACATGAATGACATAGTATACTATAGTACTATACAGTAAATTTACTAGTGTCTATGATTGCTTGCATTGTGACTTGCATCGTACTATTTCAATTTCGAACAATTTTTTTAAATTTCTAAATATTTTCTTATGTTCATTACTATTTTAATTCTTATGTTCAGCTATTTTTTTTTTTTTTTGGACTATGCTGTTTAATTTTAATACTTTATGAAACTAAACCAACAAAAAATTTCAATTCCAGGCAAATCGTAACAAGTTGGCGATTGTTGTTAAAGAAAAAAGTCCAACAATATCGACCAAGAGAGGATCATTCACATGTGAAATTTGTCATCAATCATTTTTACGCAGGGCAAATCTGAATGTACACATCAAGTCTAAACACGGTTCTAGTGAACCATTTCCTTGTAAAGATTGTTCCAAATCATTTGCAAGAAAAAGTTACCTTATCTCTCATATACAAGTAGTACATAATCCNAAATATACCTATTTCTCGTAAGCGCCGAAACACGACATGATGTTCGGTTCCCTTCCGTCTTTTGATAACTGAAAATGAAAATATAATTATCAGTAAAAGAATAAAATTGTGCAGAAATGTATTATTGTTTAAAAACGAATCTTACTCTGAACTTTTAGCATATTGAAGTTGTTGTGACCGAATATCGAAATGAACAATTTCTGAAGAAGCAACGACACCAACCGGTTAATTTACTTCAGTTCTATCAAGCTGATCAATGTGTTTATCAAGCACATGGATTTTGCTTGGGTTACTATACCGTTGACTTATCACCAAAATTTTGGATCAAACAGCTGCTTTTCGAACTGCTGATATGCTTCACTGCTTTTGATCGTTCCTCTTTCATGAATAAAATTTCTCATCCGTTGTCAGGCAAGTTCTGGACAAATCTTGGCTCGAAAAGAAATTGTTGCTTGTTTTATCTTGAGTAGTAAGTGAATGACTAAAATTTCTTGATATGGGTAGTCATCTAAATTGAAAAAAAAATAAACGATAGATGAAAATTTAAATCATAATTATAGTTTTATAATATTTTGAAATATTACTTGAGAAAATAATCCAATTAATCAACCAATTTATATATTCATCATGATCTATAATTATGGAAGGTCTTTTTAGGACATTAGCCGGTATTGGTAGAATTTGAGTCACATTTTTCACAATATCTTTGGCAGTGTCAATATGATGTCGTATATTAAATTAATAAAGTTTCGACTGCATCTACATAATTGACAATTGATGATCTGAAAAAAAAAATTAGTCAACAATTTGTATATTATTTCAATAATAATTATGTACAGTAAAAAATATAAATTACCTTTCTAGGACCGTTAAAATATATTCACAATGAAACGTAAAAGGATATCATTTTCAAGTGATGAGTTCTTTCAAAAAATTGTCACTCTCATTGCAAAATAGATGAACTATAAACTTCATTTCTCTTTTTTTTCTTATATCATTTCTACTTAAACAATAACTTCTCTCTGACTCGTGGTTCTTTAGCTTTGCGCACATATTATCAACACTCATAAGTTTTAGTGTATGTTATATGTAATTATGCAAACATAGACTACTCTTTATTAATTCAAGTAAATATGATGATTACACGTTATTGCTTACATTGTATGTATACTACACTATATTAGTTTTTAAATGCGTAAAATTTGTATGTCAATTGACTCGAAACTTACTATTAGCCGAAAAGTCTATCTCCGTAAGAGACTAAATCTAGACTCAAAAATTTTATTTTAAAAAAGTTATGTTAGAACAACTGAAAGATGCAAAACTTCTTTATGAACTATTTTTCATTACATTAACATTAATTAGTGTAATTTTAATGTTTAAAAAAATCGATTAAAAAATTAAATTGTATTAAATTGTACAATAATTAATAATTATCTAAGAAATTCAAATCCTTCCGATTTATTGTCATATCATTTTTATTGTTCAAAATAAAAATGAAATGAATGAAAAATTAAAATTATTTCAAGATATTTTGGACCTGGTAGATAGTTGACGCTATAGCGAGTTTCTTGGCGAGAAATGATCGCTCTAGATGGGGAACATTTCGTTTACTCACTTATACGCTTTCTCTCAATGAGAAGGGGCTCGCATCGCACTTGGTCTGGAAGGTATCGGTGAGTCGCTATGAAATTTAGGTGACCATTTAGAAACTTTTTTTGATCGGCATTTTTTAATTGTTTTTGTGGCCTTAAAAATTCTTGCTACCGCATGCTAACGATTAGTCAACGTAAAGCAACTGATCAGTGTACAGCGGAAATAAAGAACAAAAAATAGAATCAATAATTCTCAACGCGACGGTGAGCTTCAGAAAAATTAATGAACAATTTCGGTGTACACCTGCGAATATTAGTTTATTGATTTGCGACGATTTAAAAAATAACGATGAAAAAAATTATTTTTCATGTCGTTTTTTTATGTAAAAAAATATAGGTAAAAAAATTAGCGCATGTAATCATAAATATGTAAATACACTCAGAAATACATAGAATTGACATCATATCATAGACGGTCGAGCAGATTTTGATCATGCTACGTACCGTAGCAGAGGGGAGCGAGAGAACTTTGTTTTTCTATACGTCTGCTAATCGAGACCTGACCACTGTCGTGTTCGCTCGTTTTTTACGGATTCTCTGTCCGCAAGCGAATCCTTGCAAAACTTCTCCTTAAATAGCCGCATTGGGTGTCAGTAGTTAATTTGAAAAGGTCAGCATGCGTGATGATCGTTAAAATATGCACTTCATAGAGACATAGATATTTTCGCGCTATATGATTAGGTGGCATTTGGAGCTCCGAACCTATACTTGCTTACTTCGGCGCGTTTGACTGAAACTCGGTGCTCGGACCTTTCCAGCGTCTTTCTAGCGACTTGTAACTGTCACTCTCTCGTGATCTCTCGCCTTGTCCGCAGCATTCATGTAATTTTCGCATAGGTTGCTCATATATACCCCGCAAATCCGATAACTAAGATCGCAGTATACGCATACATAATAATGCATATTTACGTGTACATAGCTCTTGAACGTACCGCCCATTTGCTTTCCTATTCTGATGTGTCCTCAATACCAACTGCAAAAATTAATGCAATTTGTGGAAAGTGTTTACGCGAGAATATCACCTGAATAAGTCCTGAACATGAACAAGATCTATTGAAATTCTAATTCAGGCATATGCGCGAAGCAATTCGGAATAGTGTAATGTGATCCGATAAAGAATCGTGAACGATTGATTAGTTTACTTTTGGCCGAGCAACCTATGCGAACATGAATTATACGGGCCAATTTAGCGAGCACAAGAGAGACAGTTACCTATATACAAGTCGCTACACAGACGCTGGAAAGGCTTGAGCACCGAGTTGTAGTCAAGCAATGCTACATTCGTTGCGTCAGATGCAAACAAACAGACGTTCGGCATTCCAAATGNAAAAAATATAGATCGAAAATGGACGTTTATACCGGAAGTGGGGGGTAGGAGGGGGAAGGGGGTCCAAAATTTTGGTTTTGGCACTTTTTTATCATGTACTATAACATACCAAAATTTCAGGAAAATCCGTGAACCTCGCCCGCAGGTTTATTTGAAAAATTCTGAATCTGACCCATATATATATATATATATAAGCAAAAGAAAGAAAAAAGGAAAGAAAAAAGAGCCCCGCTTTAACTATACGACGACAACGGCGAAGCTGTATAACCCCATCTGCTTTTCCACCTTTGTACGCGTATATTTCGGGGCTGTAGGGTGTAAGCTCTTGAGTTTTGCACCCTCACTCTCTCTCTCAGATTTAACGCTGGAAGGACACAATATGCGGCGCGCGAAATCTGACTATGTGGGGAGGAAACCTCGATTCACATATAGGTACACACGCGCCACGTGTATACGTGTATAGCTAAAGATATAGGGTCGGACACACACACACACACACACACACACACACACACACATATAGCTGACAACAGACAGGCACAAGCGTCAAAATTTGCGCTCTATATAGTTTCGTATACAACCCTCCGCACTTTAATGTACGTATATAGGTTCGAAAAAATGACATTTAAGTTCTATACTTTTTTGTGAATTTTTAAACTGTGATAAAAAATGATACGCTAGTATAAATAGTTTTATAGCGATTCAGTATCGATGTTCTTCCAAAAATTTATTCAGTTTTACAAAAATTAAAATTATTTTTACATAATGAGATAACATTGAAGAAATTTATGATATTATTATGAATAGAAATATTTAAATTAGATATTCGAATATGTATTTTGAATTCTATACATTCATAAAGTTATACTGTGTGAATGCTGTGGAAAATCAATGTGGGCTTCAAGATTACTTTTCGTTGTGAATTTTTTTCCGCAAACATCACATGCATGCGTAATACCGATATGTGCAGAATCAATGTGATTTTTGAGACTTACCTTGTGTTGAAACGTCTTTTCACATATATTACATAAGTAAGTTACACCACTGTGCATCGAATCGGTGTGATTTTGAGATTACGATTAATCAAGTATTTTTACCCGCATATATTACATGTATGTATGATATCATTGTGCACTGTATCGATATGGACTTTGAGTTCGTTCTTTCTTGTGAATGTTTTCCCGCAAATGTCACATGCATGCTTGACACCATTGTGCATCGTTTCAATCTGAACTTGGAGTCAATTTTTGTGAGCAAATGACTTCGCACATATATGACACCATTGTGCACTGAATCGATGTGGGTTTTGAGACAACATTTTTGAGTAAAAGACCTTTCACAAATATTACATGTATATTTTTTACCATTGTGGATTGTATCTATGTGGATGTGAAGACTGCTCCTGTATGAAAATGTTTTTCCGCACTTGTCGCATGTATGTGGGAATTTTTAATTATGGATCAACAACGAACAGCAACAGAGTGGCTTTTTTGAAAGAAGGGAGACTTGAAAATCAAAACTTGGGTTTGTCGGCAGCAGAAACTGCTCAATTAAGTAGAAATTTTGGTCTCGTAATAGGTAATATAATACCCCAGAATGATACGCACTGGCCTTTGTACATAACACTCAATACATAATTGAGAATTCTAGATAGAAGATGCGTAAATACCCAGTTATTGGAAGAATTCAAGTTGAATGCTGAAAAATTAATTAAATTATATATTGATTTATTTGAAAAAAGTGCTATGTTCAAAATGCACTTTATTTTACACTATCCAAGATTAATGAAACAACTGGGGCCATTAAAAAATATTTCATGCATAAAAGATGAAGCAAAACACAAGAGTTTCAAAATTAAAGCCCACATGACAACATGCAGGATTAATTTACCGAGAACATTGGCTATAGATCACCAGCTTAAATTGGCCTCAAAATTGATATTAAATTCAAAATATAATACTGAAATAGAAACAGGTAAACCAGAGATAATAGATTACAAGAACTATACATTTTATCAAGAATTTAAAGTGCTGTTCGAT